CGTCTCGCACCTGCGGTTGCTGCTGGAGTCGCTGCGGCGGGCGGCGGGAGTGGAGAACGTGCTGCTGGTGCTGAGCCACGACCTGTGGGCCGAGGAGCTCAACCGGCTGGCGGCACGCGTGGACTTTTGCCCCGTCCTGCAGGTTTTTTTCCCCTTCAGCATCCAGCTCTACCCCCGCGAGTTCCCCGGGCACGACCCCCGCGACTGTCCCCGCGACGTGGGCAAGGCGGCGGCCCTGCGCCTGGGCTGCATCAACGCGGAGTACCCCGATTCCTTCGGGCACTACCGCGAAGCTCGCTTCTCCCAGACCAAGCACCACTGGTGGTGGAAGCTGCATTTCGTCTGGGAGCGGGTGCGGGCGCTGCGGGAGCACGCCGGGCCCGTCCTCTTCTTGGAAGAGGATCACTACTTGGCGCCCGATTTCTACCACGTCCTCAAAAAGCTTTGGGCCCTGCGCGAGCGGGAGTGTCCCGAGTGCCAAATCGTTTCCCTGGGCACCTACAGCCCCGTCCGCGGCGGCTTCGCCGGCCGCGCCGACAAGGTGGAGATGAAGACGTGGAAGTCCACGGAGCACAACATGGGCATGGCCTTCGGCAGAGACACCTACCAGAAGCTCATCGAGTGCACGGATGCCTTCTGCACCTACGATGACTACAACTGGGACTGGACTCTGCAGCACTTGACTGTCTCTTGTCTTCCAAAGTTCTGGAAAGTGCTGGTCCCTGAAATCCCCAGGATTTTTCACACGGGGGACTGTGGCATGCACCACAAGAAATCCTGCAGACCGTCCACCCAGAGTGCCAAAATCGACTCTCTCTTGAACAGCAACCAACAGTACCTGTTTCCCGAAACGATGAGTGTCAGTAAAAGGTACTCCATGGCACCCCTTTCCCCTCATGTGAAAAACGGAGGGTGGGGAGACATTAGGGACCATGAACTCTGTAAAAGTTACCGCAGACTTCAGTGAGGATCCTTCTCGCAGCCTTTTTTTTTTTCTTTTTGAGTTGTTCCATACTGTCTTTTACAGGCCCACACGTGTATAAAAAGCATTTATGAGTTGGTTTCTGCTTTAATATGAATAAACATTCTTGTTAAAGGTGTCCCAAAATAGTAATCTTTCGTGTTCGGCAACCACGTTTTGGAAACAGGTTACTTGCTGCTCAGAGCGGCGTCGCGGTCCCTGCACGGGAAGTGGCCGCTGCTGCGTTTACTGGGAGGAGGAGGAGGAGGAAGAAATTTGTATTTAAATGCATCTTTTCTGGTGCTTGCTGTGCTCTGGTGGGGGGTTTTTCCCCCGTCCGGGGCAGGGGGGAGGTGAGGCCTTCGCACGCTGCCTCGCCAGAGGTACCAGCACCTCCTGCCCGGGGTCACCTCATGCCTGATACCCACGTCTGGTTGTGATGTGTTGATGAATATATGAAGGAAAATTTAAAAAAAAAATCATTGTTTTTACTACAATGTAGATATATATACGATTTTTTTTAGTTCTGCCGAAATAAAATTCAGTTGTTTTGTAATAACCAGAGAAGTTCTTGATTCTCACAAAAAGATGATGTCATCTTGTGTTGCTAGAAAGAAAGTCAGGGCTGTGGGGGGGTGTCTTGTCTTTCATCCAGCGGGCTGAACACAAGCCATCACCCCTTCTAGTAGTGTGCATTTAACTTCATTAAATTTTTAACGATACTTGCTAATTGAGGCAGAATAGAGTAACAAATGCGGGGCACGCCACCTCTTTTGTTTGGATCCAAAAAAAAAAAGTTCGCTTTCAAATTAGTCAGCTGTGTAAAGCGACCAGTAAAAAATACTGCTGTGTAATGGAAACAGGCTGAACTGGAGCTGAAAGCCGTGAGCGGGAGGGAGCAGAGCCCTTCGTTAGCATCCAACACTTCCTCGCCTGTTTTAAGTCTTAACGGTGCGACGGCTTTAATGGCACTTTGAAGCACAACGGGTAGCAGCAGCACATAAGCAGCTTTTTGTAGAACGGAGAAGTATGTTAGAGGAAGAAAGCGCTACGTTGAGGGGATAGACATGAAATAGTTAGAGACAGATTTTATATCAAGAGATTCGGAGGGGAAAAAAAAACCAACAAACCTTCATTTTTTTAATTTGAGAAAATGGGGTTGGTGCTCTTCAGACTCTGGCTACACCAGCTCCTTAGAATGGAAGCAAGGCTTTCTTCTTACCACAATTTGTCACCTACTTAATGGGTTGTGAACACATCGGTCAAATGTTAATTTGAGAGGGAGCTAAGTTTTGTGACATACTCTTAAATAACATGCAGGTGGTTATTTTGACAGCCATAAGATGCTCTTTTTTTTTCCAGGGGTCATTTAACTGTCACGATTCTGTACCAGCTCTGGTACTTGCTCCATTTTTCTAGTTTCAGAACGTCGGGGCTGGTGCTGAAAAAGCTGTGCCAGTGCCTCAGCCCGACAGCCTCTCCCCCAAGGAGCTGTGTGATGGAGCTGAGCGGGGTGAGGCTGAACCCAGCAAACCACTTGCCCTCCTTCAGCTGGGTCGGTGCCGCGCTGGCATCGAGGGCAGGGCAGATGCTTTTGGCAGCTGTGGCTTCCGCTGAGCTTGTAAAAGTAAAACTCACACCACATCCCCCCGCTGCAAGCTGTGAAACAAGTCAAATTTTACCTTTCTTCAAAAAAAAAAAAAAAAAAAAAAACAAAAAAAACCCCAAACCCCACACCCACCAAACCAGAAGCGGTAAGAAAGGGAACTGAAAGTTTATTGTTAGATATATTCTTTTGGTTATCGCACTTCAGAGGGACAAACCAGCAAAGAGCCTGCTGAAGCTCGTGGGGAACTGTTTTTGAAAAGTAAATCTGGATAAAATGAATCCGTTTTACAAATTGTAAATACTTAGTAGCAGATGTGCAACAAGAGAGGATGTTTTTATTGTGCAATTGAATTTGTTCGGTTGACAGACTGGGCTATGTCTGGATGCTGCGGATCTGAAGTAATGCGCTAGGATGGAATACATGGTATAAATGTTGATTATTTCTAGGAGACTAATTAGAACTTCTCAGTGTAATTAGAAATTTCATTTCATTACTAAAATCAGTAAAAAAAATCACCGCAAGTCTAATCCTGCAGTTATCACAAAATGAAAGGTTTGAAGAATGGTGAAAACTGCTCATTTCTAGGTGGACTGAAAGCCGTTCCCCGGGGAGCCAGCAGAAGCAGGATGTACACAAATACTCCCTGTAATGCAGCAAGAGCCTAAGAAAGTTGTGTAAACAATAAAGATGCCTTTTCTTCTGCGAGCTCACGTTCACCTTCAGCTGCATCGCGTAAGTAAAACTATTTCAGCCCATACATGTGATTAGAAAACTCAGACCTATTAACTTCAAAAATAACAACAGCGTAAGTTTTCTATGTCGACATGTAAACAGAACATGGTGTAAACAGAACAGTTTCAGAACACAGTGTAAACAGAACGCTTTCAGTAGGAACCTGCCTTCTGCTCTTAGCCCTAAAGTCACAAACCAGCACATGGAAGTCGCAGTAAGAATCAAAACAACAGAAGGGAATCCTAAAATAATTAAACTAGTCCAATTCATACAGCAAAGAACTCTGAAAGACGAGCGGGCAGCGCGTTACGTGATCCCTAACGACCTGCAGGCTCCCATCCCGCGTGTTCACCTCTCGCAGGAGCGGGGAGGCTGCTCTGCTGCCCGAGCCCTGCTGGTTCCCCTGTGCCGACCCCCCCGCTCTCGCCTGCCCCCCCAGCACCTGGCCTGTGTGGTCCTCAGAGCCCGCGGCCGTTTCGACCCCTCCGACAGCACTTTCTAAATCTGGTTCCCTTCCCCTAGATTTGTCAGGAATCGGTGAACTGGTGTCAGAAGGTTCACGCTGCAAACAATGGTGTGAACTGCAACCTACTTTTCCCATTGTTTCAGCTGTTGCAAAAGACGTGGAAGTTTTGCTGGTCTCTGTAGCACGTTCGCCTTCGACTGGGTCAGCTGTGGTACGGTTTGTTTCTGCCTTTGTTTGGGGGTAGCTGCCGTTTGTCTTTTCAGCAAGATCTCCTCCTGAGCTGCTAAGCGTTTCTCCTTTTCCACCGCATTCAGAAGGGGCTGCTTCCTGCGGCTGTCGAGAAAATAAATGAATTGTTTTACAGCTGAAACGGACTGGGCACACAAAACTGCTGTGAAAACAGGCCAAGACACTTGTTTCTCTGATGTCTCCTTCCAGAAAGCTAAGTCAGCGCGGTGCTGAGGTTTTCCTGGTCTTGTACCGCGCGTGGGAACGAGGGGCAGGGAGGCCGTTTGCCTCCTGAGGGTTTCCTCTGCGCTAGGAAACGCCGCTGGGCAGCAGCCAAGGGGCCACAGCCTCCAGCACCGTCACCCCCGGGGGACACCGGCCAGGCACCACACCCAGGCTGTTCTCTACAACTCAGGGGCCACAAAAATCAGTCAAAGGATCTAAACTGTCATTGGAAAAAGCACGTTTTAACCTTGCAATTAGGGAAATCGCCGTCCTGCCGGATGGGGAAGGTAACTGGTAAATGAGCTGACTTTCTCAACCAGCCTGAGTGAGTTAATCCAGGAATTGCTGCGGTTTGCCTCGGAGAGCGGGAGCTGAGACCCGGTGCTGTCTAAGCAGCACTTACCCAATTTCACCAGTAGCTCTCGACTGCTTTAGCAAAACACGTGCCTGTCAGCGGGCAGTCGGGATCAGGCAGAGCCCTGTCCGGGAGCAGCTGGATGCGTGGATTCAAAGGCTGAGTCCCTCCGCACGTGCCCAGCCCTCTCTGACCCCAGAGCTGCTGCTCGCCACAGCAAGAAACAGAAGAAATGCTACTCAGTCCTGCTCAGCACTGGACGATTCTCCCACGTGAAAGTGTGATGATTTCAGATGTCTCAGCTTCCCTTTCTTGGGTACCAAAAGATACACACCTGCCCGCCAACAATTTGAATTTTAAATTTTTTATGTATGATCCACACTAGCTACAAAAGTTAAGCCTGTCAAGTAATGCTACAGCCACTATTTTCAGGGTAAACTCCTCGGTCCTCTAGCTCAGTTCCAGAGGTCATGTGCTTCGTCTGAACTTGCTTTCCAAGAAGCCATCTGCACGTTAACTGTTATCTGCAGTCCCTGGTTTATGGCCACAGAAGTAACCTGATTGCCCCTGTGTATTATCTTTCCTGTAAGAAAAGTTTTAAAAGAATTTCTGATACAGTGTCTACCAAGAAATCCCAGTTGATTGGGGGGTTTTACATCACATTTTCCGCTTTACAAAACTAACGTTTTGTTTTCTCCATCTGTCCATTTCCTATTTGGCAAAGAGAGGTCATTTTAATCCCGTGGCAGACTTCAGAAACAGACTTTGCATCCTTTATATAGACAAAGCGACTGAGGAAGGAGGGTAGCCTGAATGAGGCCTTAAACGTTGCAAGTAACGCATTTGGGACCAGCATTTAAGATGAAAAATCCTCTATTTAATTATCTAAACAACAGGAAACCAAGGTGTCTGTGCAGAAAAAAAGCACGCTCTAACCGTGGGCTCCAGTACGTGAGCCCAGACTTGTGGGTATTTGAAGGACATGGATTATTCACTTATTTCCATTTTAAAACCATTTTGAGTTTTATTCTGATGACATCTGCCAGGATTTGTTTGCAGCATGTTGTCATCAGCTCTGACCTGGAAGCACTCAGGGTCCCTCGGCATGAGGGATACTAGGTAGTTAGTTATTTTTCAGTTAGTTATTTTTTAGTTTCCATACCAGTGAGAGATGTGGTGTGTGCGTATTCCGCACTGTATTCCTGCAAGGATAAAGCACTGTCTTTAATTATATCACCGCTCTCCACCTTCCCAATGAAATATAGGAGGGTTCAATCCCTTGATCAGATTAAAGGGCACAAACATAAACCTACGTTTCTAAAAACTGACGTTTATACTCACAAATAGACCCCACTCCAGGTTTTTCCCTGCTATATCAAGACAAAACAGGGACAAAGGTGTTTTGGTCAGATTCGCTAGGATGTTGCTGAAGTAGAGAAAGCAGGCAGCAATGTTCTCCTGCCAGAGAGATCCTTACCTTCAACCTGATTTGAATTCTGTCCTCAGTAACATCAAGCACTTCAATTAATGGCTGACTTTCCACTGCTGATTGGGAGCAAAAGGAAGGGCATAAAACAGTGCCTAGAAATCCATCAACATTTTCTTCACTGACAAACAATCTTTCCTAAAGAAAAGAAAAGAAAAAGCAGGTTATGTTTTTTTCATACTATACTTCAGTGGCATTGGAGCAAGAAGCTCACTCCAAAGCAAGCCAGGACACCGATTCACAACACGAGTTTCACAGCACGCTCACGTCTCGACACAGGATTCTAGGTCAGACACTCAGAAGTAACAAGGTGAAATGAATTGAAGGCCCGGGCTTAGCTCATTTCGATCTGAAGTACGGATCTGCATCATACACACAGATAAAAGAAACATATGTTTTCTCTCTTTCGATACGTGACTAATATAGAGATTTAGACTCCCTCTGAGGAACGATTTGCACCGGCGTTGTCCCACTGTCCTCACCTATCCTAACACCAGGAAGGCGTTATGCTTTTATGGATTTGTTTCGGTGTCTTACTTTAGGAAGATGCAAACACCTCCTTGGCCTGTCCCTGCAGGATCTTTGAACCCTCCGCCTTCAAGAGCAGACTTTCTAGAGCAACATAAAACATGCATGGCTGTATCCGTTTCGCGTCCATCCGTGGAGGCTTCTCAGATCTCCACTTAGGCAAGTATAAAGAGTGGTTGGAAGGAGCGGAGAGGTATCCACAGTTAAAGATGACAGGCTGGGACATGTTTTGGGGCTGTTAATATGCAGTTCACAAACAATGTGAAACGTGTTGCTACAGGTTTAAAGATTTAAATCAGTTACAGGTAATTAAAGGTCCTAAAATATATCCTGGAGGGGCTGTTTCATAAGAACTGCAGAGCTTTCCCCGTCCTCATATTCTTCCTAAATCATCTGCTGTAGGCCGCGGGTAAGGACAGATGTTGGCACAATAAAAATGGTCTACCCTAGAGGACTGTTCTTACGTTCAGCAAATTACCTTTCCTGTTTAACTGTTTAATTGGAAATAGCAGGGAAAAGTTGCAAACCTTCTCCTTTAAGTCACATTTCAATTTCTCAATCCAGTTCTAGTCTCTTGTCAACCCAATGAAAGTTAAATTCAATTATTACTGACATCTTGCAGGCTGAGAAGCAAAAGGGCAATTCTGCACATTTTTGGCCCCCTGTGGATGTAGCCTTATGCACAGCCAGATGCTGCGCTGTGTCTAAGGTACAAAATTTAACTGTCATCCTGAAAAAATAATTCTGTACGCGAAAAAAAGAAAACAGCATCCTGTTTTTTTCACTATTTAAATTAGAAATTATGATAGGGAAAGTCATAACGTATCTATTGCTGGTTTTCAACACCAGAGGATTGAATTCATTTTTGCTCCAGAAAGATTATAGTCCAGGCAAACATCCAACATGAGATGCTGAGACAGTTTGTGAAAAGATTAAACTACAGCAGGGTTGCCCTGACAGAAAACCCTACAGTAACACATATACTTCTTACATTTTTGTATACAAAGCCTAAAGTACTTATTCTCTCATGTTGCTTCCTTTCTTGCCTGCCAGAGAGGGACCCTGCCAGTGCTTCAGGCTTGTGGAAATATTCTGCAGAGTTCGAGAGAAGGCGTCAGAGTAAAGAAACAAGGCAGGGAGTACAGACACAAAATCCGTGCGGCACCGAAACTCCCACAAGCTCATGAACAAAATCACCAGCAAGGCCTTGGGCAGCACAGAAGATCCATTCCCGCCTCCGCCACCATCACACATCACAGAGAGAAGAGGTCAGGTCCCCTCCCGCGGGGCTCTCGGCACGCTGCCGAGCACAGCCCCCCCGGGATCCTGCCTTCGCTTGGGGGGAAGCGCAGCAAAGCACCTTCTGCCCCACCACCACGACTCTCCTTACCCAGCTGAGAAAATTATGTCACCTGCCAGTAATTCACCTTTAGCTGACACCTCTGTGCTCCACATTTTCATTTTAAGAGCAAGAACGTCTTCCTAAAAGCTGGAGACTAGCGATTTGAGCGAGGATAAAAAAAGAGACCAGCGCATTACCATTTTTCCTCCAAAATAACTGCTACAGGTTCTCCACATCTCAACATCCCTTCGGGAAAAGAACCACCGTGGGGTTTGGGTCTCAGCAATCTTGCTTCGATTCTCTGCCTTCTGGACTGCTATGACTGCGAGTCTCCATTTTTCCTATATAAAATGGGGAAAACAATCTTTTTTTTTCCCTCTGACCCTGCATGTGTTTTATCTAGTGAGAGCATAAGCCTTTTGTGAAAGGACTCTTACCGTGCGTTTGTGCTCTTAACAAAGTTGGTGCCTGACCCTGCTTATATCCATAAGCAGCGTAATAGAAGAAATCAGAGGTACAGGAGTCAGGAGGGGAGATGCTTGAAAAGCCAACAAGTAATGGAAAAGTTTTCTGTGATGTCAAAATATAGCAAATCACATCCTTAGATCGCTTTCTCTGAAGGGACTTTAACCAGGGGGCCACTTGCAGATTCTGCAGAGCCAAAGTCGGTGCTGTGGAGCCAAGGGAGCGCCCCGCGAAACACAGGAACGGCTTCACGGAAACGTTTCTGAGTGAAACAGCAGGAGACCCTTAACACGCACCAAAACAGAGCTACGATGAGGAGAAGAACCCTTAGGAGTGAACGTGAGGGTGAGAGGGCGGCGTATAGAAACCATCCCCCCGCCAAGGTCAGGGGTGCGAGTGCCAGCGCCAACCACGGCTCCGAGAGCGACAGCCGTGCCGTCTCAACACAAATACCGCTTCACACATCAGCAACAAACCCCATCAATCTTCCTGAAGGCTTTTCTCCCTGATTAAAAGCAAAAGAATTTGTTTTCTTCCCAGAAAATACTGTTAAAAAACTGTTTGGAAGGGCTATGGATCAGCACTTTACACGAGGGTAACAAGTAACTGCTCGTGATGATGTTCCCATCATTTTAACTAATTACTGTAAAACAATTTTACCAGGTTTCGTAGCAGCTCAACACCATATTCCCCGAGCACCAAGCCTACATTTCAAGTAAGTATTTAAAATTTTATTGCAGCACTACCCAGTGGCCTGCCATAAATCACAGTGCCTTGTGCTGTACGCGCAAGCAATAGCGTTTGTTATCAATATAATGATTATCATTAGCCTGTTCAGACACCCAGCGACTGTAATTCAGACTCTGCATTCACGGTGAGTATACACTGAGGCATTTATATTACTGCAGATGTTATCAAAGCACAGACCTTGAAAAAAAAAAAAGATTCGGGAATTTATTTTAAAGCCTGTTTGCTCTGGCTTGGACGAGCAGCAGAGGACAACTATCTGCAGATGATTTCAGTGACCCTGTAAAATAATTCTTCAGCTTAAAGTTTATTTTCTGATATTTATGACGCTCTCTTAGCAACTCAGAATTCAATTTGTTTTTCCCCGCACATACTGTCATCTGCTGTTTGGTACACATTGGTTTTTCCCTGTGACTAAACTGAGACCAAATTAACATAAACGTTCGCAGGAATGACTTTGGTTTCTCGAACACAGCTTTCAAAACCGTCATCCTGTGGCCGAGCACTGACAGCGCGGGGCGGCCGCAGCACTGGCAGACGCAGCACAAAGCCGGGCCCCCGCGGCTGCCCTTGGCCCCCCAAGTGTTTGTTCTGCACGGCTTTATCCAAACTCGTAACCAGTTACCATCCAGTTAACTCCCACGCAGGCTGCCAGAGTTTTAAAAGCGGGACAGATTTCAGACTTAAATGAGTTGCCCGTCTCCTGTAACGAGAAGCTCGTGCCAACATGAAAAGGACCTTGGGGCTGGGGATCTCCTGGCCTCTTGCTCTGTAGGGTCCCACTGCAAAGCAGCTCGCCATGAGAATTTGAAGCTCAAAGTTTGGGTCAATCTGTACTGGGAGTGAAATGTTTTATAAGATATTCACGACTGCAAAGATTAAACGGCTCAGAAGAAGCTTTCATGAGCTTAATCAGTAGGTTAATAATGTTTGCTGACATAACTGTTTTGTGTAAGTACGTTATTCCCATAATGCATCAACCAATTAAAGGCTATTCAGAAATTAGTTTGTTTTATAGCAGAAGCAAACCAATTATGTTTCTTAATGTAGTTTGGGAAAGAGATTACTTTGAGAGAAAAAAAAAAAAAATCAAACAATAAGTTTGTTCTGCTCTCCTCTTCTGTCCTCCTCTGACCTTCAGAAAAACTTGCCAACAGCCCTGAAACACTGAGCACAGAATTAACTGAACCTAAAATAAACTGTAGTAGGATTAAGTAAAACAATCCTTGTTTCTAGCATCATCTTCTAAGAATTGACCCCTAACTGTTATATTAACTCTTTATAGTAGCTTGGAAGTTGAAAATTATAACCCTGACTTTCAAAGAAAGCATGTAACACAACTCAAAATAGCTTGGAAGGGGAAAACCTAGACACAGGAGTACAGCCAAGACTGCCCCAGCTGCCCGAGAGCCAGCACCCCCAGACTTGTGAGCATCCCGCAGCACCCATTCAGCTCTCCGCGATGGATTTCCCTACGAAAGGCAGCACAGGCTTAAAACATCACCATAGCTTCTACTTGCCAACACGGCTCTCTAGGCTTCACGTTGGGTTGACTCTCAAACCAAGAAATACATTTATCCCAAAGAGCCGTAATTCTGAGATCACCAAGTATGAGCACAGCCCCAGCAGGGCCCTGGGCAGCGTGCCCACGGGAGCACACAAACCCACGGGAGCACATGTACCCACGGGAGCACACATACCCACGGGCTTTCCCCACACTCTCAGCGCCCGGAGCGTTGTAGCTCCACCACCTGCAGCCACACACAGATTCCTGGGTTCAGTTTTGGGCCCCTCACCCCAAAAAGGCCATTGAATGACTCGAGCGTGGCCAGAGAAGGGCAACGGAGCTGGGGCAGGGTCTGGAGCACAGGTCTGCTGGGGAGCGGCTGGGGGAACTGGGGGGGTTCAGTCTGGAGAAGAGGAGGCTGAGGGGAGACCTCCTGGCCCTCGGCAACTCCCTGCCAGGAGGGGGCAGAGAGGGGGGATGAGTCTCTGGAGCCAAGGACCCAGCGCCAGGCCCCGAGGGAATGGCCTCAAGCTGCCCAGGGCAGGGTCA